TACAACAAAAACACGTTTTAGAGATATATTAGTATAACGAAAAATGTTTACTTTTGATAACTTCCAATCTGTGTTCAGCTGTCATTTCTTTGTAAACTGTTAGTGTATACATGAATATAGCACTGTAGGATTTCAGTGTCGTTTAGCAATATTTCTATGTTAAAATAGTGTAATCCTTCAACTTAAGAAACCTATTTCAGTTTTCTTTAGAAAAAGTCTAATTTTTTCTTTCTTTTCACGTTCTACGCGAGTCTTCCTATTAAATAGTTGGTTTTCACATCATCTTTTTTATTCTCTATAACTTTACGTTGGTAAGCAATACTGTCCGAAGCGTAAGTTGATTGCTGAGTTCCCAGAATCCATTTCTAAACAAGAAACGGGTCTGAACTATTCATCATAAAGGAAATGACTAACACTGATTACAAACTAATAACGTGTCATTATTTTTTACTGGATAACGTTTGTGAAGTTTTGTTTTACCTGACTTCAATAGAATAACTTCTTTCTATGTTTATACGACTGCCTAAATGAGTGTGTAACCAGTCGAACGTTAGTATTTATAATGGATTTATTAAATGTTTGATTGCCCGAGGATTATTATTTTATGAATTATATCTGTTCCAATTAACCTTATATAGACCATAGAACAAAAAGTTATTTGCCACTGGCTAACCAAATGCTTTTTTCAGTTTTGTTACCACTTTTGACCTTATTGACTTACGTAGGCTACTTGATGGACAAGAATTTATGAAGTACGTAAAAATGCCCAGTCATATGGTTTAGCATAACCTAGGTTCTCTCCCAATCTTTTTATCGTCGTGTCAAAGAGTGCGTCGTCCATACAGTGTGTTTCTAATTAGTCAGTCGATCAAGATTAAATCGTATTTGTCAGACTATAACGTAGACTTAATTGAAATCCAATATCACGCTCTAGCAACCCAATGAATAGAAATACTTACTTACATTATACCTAAGATGTATTGATTGTTTTCTTGTTTAACTCATTCTAAAAGGGAATGTCAACTTACTGAAATTTATTTGATACCTTTTTAATTTTCTTAAAATTGTTGTTTAACGTACGCATTTTTTTCCAGAGATTTAGCTACATTCGAAACTAATCAGTCAGATGGTTGTTAGAGATGCAGCTAATTTGAGAGTAAATGTTATAACTTGAGAATCCCCGTTACAAATATTGACTTGGGAGTATTATAAGTCACATGACTACATACACTTATCTGTTTATTTGCCTAAGGACTCGATATCGAAAAGAAGTGCGTCGATATAAAGTAGGATAAAATTCGTTACGATTCGAAAATAGTCAATCTTGTGCAGTCCATAAATTGTATCCCTTTTTCCTTTCAGTGGTCAATCATAGTCTGTATTATCTAGATAAATCAGTAACTTTTGTTTTTGATAGATTCGAAATTATGTGGAAGCAGCTGTCGTATACCATTTTGTTTTCAGTAGCTCTCTAGCAAATTTTGGTCCGTGAACTATTTTCGTGTCTTTCCATGTAGTGATATATTGTAAATGTTTCATTATTTGAAGTGGTATTTGCTTTTATTTTTATTCAGGATAGTATCCCAGGCGCTGGACCTATTGTTGTACACTGTAGTGCAGGTATTGGACGTACTGGAGCATTTATTGTAATCGATATGCTCATAAATTATATCAAAACAATGGGCCTTAATTGTGACATAGATATTTCCCGTACAATCCAAGCAGTTCGTGAACAACGTTCTGGGATGGTGCAAACTGAAACTCAGTATAGATTCATTTATAAAGCTGTTCAGCAATATGTAAATACAATGTCCAAGCGTATACAAATGGATAATGTGAGTTTTTTCATTTTCAATTAAAAATCGAAACATGTTAATACCATAGTTTACATACAGTGATCATTTCTCGAATTTTTTCTCGATGGCAGTATGGATGAACATCCATGCACTCACTGTCAACTGTCTCACACATTTCTAAGAATTTTTTTGAAAATTTAATACTTCTAATTATTTATTTTACTAAATAAACCAAAAGAATATTTCCGCTATTTGATGAACACAGAAAAAACATCTGTTATTATATTCCAGCACTAACTTTTCAGATAATTAAAACAACCCATCGTTTCATTGAATAAAAATAAACGGAATTTAGCGAAGAGAATTTTCTTTTCGACGAAATCATTTACTTAAGCTGCAACTTATGTTCGTCCTTGTATTCTTCTCTTACTACTTGATTATTGCGTAACCTGATTTGATAATAAGGGTCTCTAATCACTTTATGACGCAATCTTTTCTATCATTCTATAGACATATAACTACCACACAACTATAAATACGAATGTACATCTTAGTTAAATGATTTTGTCCAAAAATTCTCACTGAATACTCTTTGTTTTTATTCACTGGATTGCCAGTTTTATTTCCTAGTGAAAACCAATTTATTAATAATAAACGCTGTCTTAAAAACCTTGTGATTATAAATATCTGTTACTTTGATTTCGAAATGTTCATAGGATCTTCGCCGTACTGGAAGAGACTACACTAATATCAATCGTGCTGCTGATGATATTGGTGTAATTGGAACATCAGCTGTCAATATATTTCCAACGGTTTGTTCATCATTGGGTTTCAACTCCCATGAACAACAAAGTGTGACATCAAACTTTATTCCTGGAGCAAGTATCAACACACCCTCAGTTACTGGATCTTCTGTGCCTGCTTCAAACAAACAATGCAATTGTCCTATTCACTCTTGTTCTCAGCGACAATCAACATCAAACCATAATATATCTCAAGCTTCCATTTATCCCACCAACTGTTCACAAACTGCTGTTTCATGCACAACATTGCCCTGCACTGCTCCAGTTGTGTCCGTTTCGCCTCGCAATGCGGATTCTGTAACTGGAGGCTTCTTCCATCGACTGACTGCACCAAGTCGTCCCCGTACGAAGTCATGACACTTTTTGAAGACATTTTATCCGATTAATTTAATGTGAGTTTTTGTCGGAATTTCATCAGGAAATATAATATTTATTTATTTTATATTGTGAAATGTATTAAACCATAAACTTTTAAAGAACTATCATTTCAACTGCCACACCACATGTTGTTAATTGTGTATTTATGTTCGTTTAGTGTCCGGCGATCTGATTCCATATGATTGAGTAATATTGATTCTAATGAAATTTATACCTTTTTTATATATATTAAGTCGACGTATCCTGTCGATAACAACATGGATATGAGAAGTCCATTACAAAGGTATTTGAGGAACATATATTCCAAGCATAATTTAGACAAGCGATAAGAGACGAGAAGAAATACACGTGAACTGAAGTGGTAAAAATAACCAGCTCTGTGAGTACTAGGTGACCTAGTCTTCGTGAACATGAACTCAACATAAGTATACAGATATATACACAGATGTACAAAACATGTTCAAGGTTAAATGTGAGTAATTGACCAGGTGTGACAAATAAAAAAGAATGATTTATCTGCCCAAAAGTTGCAAAAAATCACGTAAGCGTGTAATAACATCGAATTGCTACAATCAATTTCTGGACATAACTCTTCTCGTCCTAATCTTCCAAGGGTTGACCTCCAAACAAAAGACTTTCATTAACGTAGAGTAAAAAGAGTACATATTTCTTAATGATGAAGGTGTCAATAAAGTGAAATTTTCTGAACGCTTCGAGTTATAACGAAAGGATTGTCTTTCTTATGTATTCCACCACAGCTCCATTTCTTCTCATCATAGCTACGTCTACTTTATGAGCCTCATCTGCTCAACATATCGGAATGGATGTTTGAATTGATTTTATTGAAAAGATATTAAAGCTGTCTAATAAATAGATGATATATATTTGCAGAAACTTTCAATTCAAGCTATTAATTTTACACATAAATTGTAAATCTTTGGGACTTGAGAAGCATTAGGAGTAGTTGATTTTATATATTAATCGTATTTTGTTTTCTAAAGAATTTATCAAACTTCACTTAAACTCTTGTCGTCCCTAGTTATCATTTGCAAATCAATAAATATTACAAGAGTTTCTTCCCATTTCCTAATCTAAAGATATGTCAAGATATTGTATGTATTGCTTTAACTATTCATGGGATTATATATATATATATATATATATATATATATATATATATATATGTGCAAACAAATTTTATTGTATAATAGCCAACGTTTTGTTTGCACTGTCTACTTTTACTATTTTATTCTCTGTTACTGTAGGTAAAGAAGCATTAGTGATATCTGAAATGTATGTAATTGTACTCATTCATTACATGTATGACTTTAAACAGATTTTGTTTATTTAGAAATCATCACAAAAAATTATTGGGTTTTTTTCCTTTATCACCGAATTATCAGTAGTAATCTTATTTGAATAATAAGCCATTAAAATCTATATTTTGTTAAAATGCTGTATACAATGATAGTATAAATATGTAAATGGTATTATCAGTACTGAGTTGTTTAATTTTTGTTATTATTTACCAATTATGTTAGTTGGTTTTTAATTCTAATAATGCTCCAAATGTTTGTTGAAATGAAAAATTATCTCTTATTATATACTTGCACAAATACTGTTTTCATTCAATGAAATAAATTTTATTTTTTTGACTTATCTTTTTTTTCTTCTTTTTCTGAATAAGAATTTTTGTGTAAAACTCTAAGTAAAACGTTGACAATTTACCTTTAAACGATACAGTTTACAATTTACTATAATAATGTAAATTCTCTCTTTTACTCTTGGTATATGAAAAGTGTTTTAGTCGTTCCTAGATTTAATTCCTTTTAAATAAAGTTTTTAAAAAAAATGAAATTCGACTGTGTTTTTTTTTGAAAATTTATTTACATTTTTCACTTTATCATTCACGGGAAGGGTTCCATTCATAATGTTTGTACCAGATTACACAGTTCTCGTAATAATGCTTTTTTGGATAATGTGATAATTATGTTTTACTTGTATTCTTATTATTTTTACTGTGTGAAATTATTGTTCACTCGATTTAAAAGAAAATTAATTAAATTTACGATTTATAATGCAAGTGTTTTTATTTAGTAAAACGGGTCGGTAGCTCCTGCAATTTTTAATTAAAAAAGTTTCTTTTTAGTGATTGTATGAGTTAACAATAATGTATATCTTATCTGTTCAAAGATTGTATCTCAAATCAGGAAATAAGTTGTTGCACACCGTATATAATACTATGTCATAGTAAGAGTGGCATCTCGTTTGGGGTAGAAGAGTCGGAGGGTTAGCAATTATCAAAGGAGATTTCATAGCATCATCAAGGCCCCCGAATGGCCTGGTATGGCCGAGAGTGGGGAGGGCCCGCCCTTCCTCTTGAAATGCTCTCACACGGCCATGCATATACAGTCTATGCCAGGGAAGTTCTACTCACTGCCTTCTTGTGGCGGGGGTGTTGTTCACGAAAATGAGAGGACGAAAAGCGCATGTCCGGCGCTTTAACTGGATTCTAAAACAATAGTGCACATGGGCTCCAGTACCCTGAGGGAATAAATGGTGTATGAACCAATTGTTGGTCACCAGCTACCATGGGACTGCATCTCCTCACGATGCTCCACTGCCTTGTGGTTCAGACCTTCAGGTCAAAGGCTCGGGGAGTGGCCCCCCAAAAAATCACCTGCTTCGGTTTGGGCACCCGAGCAGTATCACAGCCTGCACACAAATAAAATGGAAATGACGATATTTACTGAAAGTTCGATTAACAGTCAAACAAGCCACATTATTATTTTTATTTATCACGTCACTTATCCCCACTTTGGTAAGTGTGGCGCATACATATTGGGTGCCCTCTTGTACCAATATTTTTGTGTTCAAATAAATAAATACAAGATGCTCTTGAAAGCAGGCGATAAAACACATGCATAGACTGTTTGATGTAAAGAGACAACTCGCTGATCCAAAGACTACGATTTTAGTTAGCCACATATAAAAAATAAACAATAAATCCCGGTTGATATCACAGAGTGAAACAGTTGGAATAACTGAATCTCACTTCAAAATGAAAGAAACAGACTGACAAATCATCAAGCAAGCGACTATTTTTAGATGACTGAAGTCCATAGTGTGATCTCATTTGTGCCCATCTAACTTACGTTAAACTGATTGACATGTACCTAATGTTATGATGATTTGTGTAGTTTGATTGGTTTCAAAACATTGACGAATGGGAGGTAGCATAAGTAAGAGTGTGGTGAATGAAGCTGGAATAAGTAGATTGACGACTAGTGCACATCGATACTTCAACGATGACGACGGTAGACGAATAAGAGAGAATACGGAAATTTCCAAGTGAGATTTTATGTCTTTCGACGTTAAGATTTACAAATGGTTTTTGATTAGTCTCTCTTTAGTACCAAAGTCACTTGACTATTCGGCTGAAACTGTTATCGTTTCCTATTGTGCAAAATGATTAGTCAACTGGTCAAAGATCATTACTACATATCCGCTTTCTGTGTTCTCATTATCTATAACATAAGATTTAAATATTACTGTTCATTAATGGCTTTATACACTGTTGTTGTTTTCTGTTCAGAAACTTACATAACTTAGATACATTGCAAACCATGTCAGCTGACAATACACTAAAATACTAACAATGCTGCTCCAAGTATTTATCTGGAATGAAAGCAATGTTCATACATGTTATCGTAGTTGAACTCAAGTACTTTTTTGTTTCATGTCCAAATAAGTATTTAGAAAGTGACATAGGACATTAATCGTATCTTGCTATTGACAACATCCGTTAACCATCTCTCGGAAAATCTGCTCTTTCCTGGACTATGAGACAAATATATCAAAAAAGTAAAACAGAAAATAAAGTTTGAAAACAGCAGTGTTGTAAATATAGGGATATAATTAAGTTTTCATTGTAAACGAAGGATAGTGGATGCTTCCATGCTCATTAGGAGCCAGATATGTACAATATTTTAAAATTAAAGCCCACTTCAAATGGTAAACTCAGAATGGAAATAAATGCTTTTTCCAAATCCTAGGACAATTACTTGTCAAATTCGTGCTAGTAACTTATAGGGCATATCTGAAGTATTTGTTAGCGAAGGAATTTTACTTCAAAGGAAAATTAAGTTAGCAACATGTACAGAGTTTTATAACAATATAAGTTAATCACTCTCCCAGTATCTAGAGTTTCCTTAAGAATCTACACATTAGTGTAATCATGTTAGGTATTTTTATTAATTAGAAACAGACTTATAGGATGTTTCGATAATGGTCATAGTGTCATGATGTTGGTCAATATGGTACGAATATATTTATTTCAAACTTTTATTGATGCTACTAAAGTATTACCAGTCTTCAGCTAAAATACTAGTGGTATTTAACGTCAGTGAAAAACAAGTTATTCTCCCTTGTTTACTGATATGACATTAAATAATGTGAAAGGTCAAAAATTTCCAATAAAAATTATCATCTTTTTGTCATACCCTATGTTGTTTGATTTTAGTTAATTATTTATTATTTCAATGGTTAAGATCATGAGTCAGTTAAAGCTGGACCACCATGGAAAACCTGGAAGCACTTAACGGCGGTTTCGTCCTATTATTAAAATAATATCCATTGAATTAGCAAGATTAACTTACATTTGTATTGAGCGGAATGTTTCGACTTGATAATAGACAAGTATAGCTGAATTCTGTAAATTTTTTAAACAAATTGATTTTAAAATGAAAAGAATTATAAGTTCAATTATAAACATGTCAAATTATGTCTGGGATAATTTTTCCTGTAAAACTCACTATCAACTACAAATTAGAACGAAATTCTACTGAAGCTTGATTCTTCTACATTTTGACCAGATAATTAAATACACTTACGTGAATTTACTTGTGAACTGTGTTGGTGATGTATACTAAGTATTCCATTGGAAAGACCTGAAGGTTGTAGGTTTGATTCTTCTTTAGGTCATAGTTCCCTAGCATTGAGAAGGCCCACACTAGGACGAAGTAACTGTGCAGTAGTAGCTGGTTTTCATTGATTTTCTAACTAAAGTCAGTCCGCAATAAAAAAACTTCGAAAACAATCTTGTTGGGTTTAATTAGTTCTTTAATAATGGGAGTTTACTATTTTTACAGACTGGTCAATTATTCATGTCCAACATGGAATCTCGTATATGCTTCCTTACAAGTTGCCACACTACAACACACCAAGATATCAGTGTAGTGTAAGTAGCAACAGTGATAGAGTTCATAGAAAAGCTTGAGTATAGAAGATACGGTTCATACGGCAAATGTGGTCTTTTGGAATAGAGAATAAAGTAAGGCAACTTGGAAAACAAAGTGTGAGTGTACCTTTACAGCTCAGAGATATGTCATCCAACTTTTAACCGTTTGTTACGATAAACGAGCTAACCTCAACTAAGTATATTTAAACTACCAAAAAGATCAGTTAAACGTTGGTGACATCAAGATATTCTTTTCCGTTGTTATTTTTAATTAACTTATGAATCAACTCAATCGTTTTCACAACATACGTATTGGTATACGTAATATGATTCAGATTATACTATTTGAATTACTAACTGTTAATCTTACATAGAGTTATACTCATAATTTATGCTTATAAGAGACAAATAATCAGAAAATGAGGTTTCATGATATCATAGTTTTTTTACAGTATCTGGAGTTTTGGATGATAATTATGACTTCTCAGTACCTAATCAAAAGGATAGCTACTTCAGGTGTACAGTCAATATTTTGAAGTCAGCTTTCGATCCTGTTGTTCTCAGTTAATATTATATACGGAAGTGATTGCAAAATATAATGGTTTCATAAAACATCACGTATATTGGTTTCTGTACAAGTATCCTTATTTAATATCAGTTTTAAGTTGTTTATTTTTTTCAATTACTAGAATAAGATAAACTTAATTTTTGTCATCAGTAGGTAGGTGAGTATTATAAACGAAAATATAAATTCATTGTATTGAGTGTTAACAATAACTAATGTCTTTTTTTTTTAAATGACGGAACATTTAAACTCATAAAAACGTCTAGAAGTAACAAATCATTATGGCATAAAAACCATCCAATCTCACAGATGGGTTTGTTATATCATTCTTGACATAATTAAACTCTAAATTAACTTATTTTGGAAAAAAATTTATGGGCGTTTTCAACTTTTTCTCACTGTCTTAATTTGGGAAATATTGAGGAAACAGGTACATTTATCTAGAAATAAAATAAACTATTAAAATATTATTTGGGAATCCGGAAGTGCTTTACTCTACATGAATATTCATAATGTTCAACATTTACGCCATATATATATATATATATATATATATATATATATATATATATATATATATATATATACTCATCTGTTTACCTTTGGCTTTATCCGAGATATTCGTAGCGTGAAGTAAACCGACACCGTAGATTTTGGTATGGGTGAACGCCTAGATGGCAGACTAAATTTCACTCGATATTTATGAAGCGTTTCATTCTTTAGTTCCACGATTGGCAAAATATCAACGCAGTAAAGCCATTTATCACTTATTTCCCAACACTGAAAGTACAAATGCGAACAATTGTTTAGAAAGATGCAATTTTTATATCATTCAGGCTTGCTTATTACAAAATAGACAAGTGTTCTAGAGACATTTTGACCATTGAAGACTGCAATCTTATAAGCGGTGTTTCTCAAACCTAATTTGTTTCATAACTGGAACCATCAGCTTATAACTATCATGGTACTTCGCACTTTGTAAAATGGAACCAGGCAATTGTAATAGAAATTCAGCTTCAGTCACGATATATTCACTTCATTAAATAATGTAGTATCCAGTCATTATTGGAGTACTTTATTCCAAACGCAAAAGTATATGACAATCTAAGACTTTTTAACTTACCCTTTATCAAGGTTGGATTCGAAAAAGAAACATGAATACATAATACATCATTGCAATAGTTCTAATAATTGGTCCTCATTAACTAATATAATAACACTCTTGATTGCATATATGATTTTGCAGATAGTAAAATCATATGCACATCCTTTGTTTCAAAATGTTTCAATGAATAAATAATACATAGTCATTTTAGACTCGTTACCTCCATCTTGTAAATTAACAAAAATAGTATAGAAGCCATTGCAATCTGAATGATATTCCTCATGTTCGAAGCATTCAGTACGTCTAAATATTGTATATAAACACAAAACCTCCCACAGATATAACCGTGGCGATTTAGATTTAAAATTATCATCTTATCTTTGATTTCTAACAAATATATTACTCAATCATTACCTTTACATATTTTTCAATTTTTTCCAGTCCTAATTTTGGTGTAAATTCTTCAATAGTAGGCCATTGTATATTAGGAATTGGTAAAGGTTTATCTGATAAGATAATTTCATCATTGATTTCATATGAACTTTCATTGAGATATAATTTTTCCAAATCATAGTAATTATAATCCGTTGGGTTGATTTCATATGGACTTTCAGAATTCTCAGGTTTCATACTTTTACATTATTTAAAAATGATAAAATATATTAAATGGTATTATAAATAATTGTGATTTTAAAAAAAACTTTGGTTTTTTGCTTTTCAATCTGTACAATAAAACATACCTTTTTTGTTTCTTGAGTAATTCAAGCTTAAAATTAAATGAACAGAAAGTATATAATCAAAAACTTCACCGATTGAAATCATGAGCCAATTGAAGCTAGATCATCATGGAAAACATGGAAGCACTGGACGGTATTTTTGTCCTGGCATGGGACTCCTCAGTAGTGCGCGGGGTGCGGGATCGTGGATGCCGTCCAGTGCTTCCATGTTTTCCATGGTGGTCTAGCTTCAATTGACTCATGATTTCAATCAATGAAATTTCTAAAATTTCCACAAAACCTCTTCTGATAATCAAAAACTTAAAGAATATTTATCTGAAGCCATGTTTTGCTCATTCAAAAGTCGAACACTAACAGTTGCATTCGAACTCACACAGTAAGGAATAGTCTTCTGGACGTTTTTTATAATCATCACAAGTGTAAATAACTATTTTATTTATTGAATATAGTGTAGGCATAAACTTTTTACATTTATTGACATCATTAATCATATTTGAATTTTGTATTCAACACTTTGAACGATAAATTTATGATAATCATCTTTTAGTCACTAATTTTTTAGGACTTTCGATTTCCATTTTTGAATTAAATTTCAGGAAAGATTATTCTTTCCTGGTGTATGAATCCGTTATAGCTCATTTTTGAAGCATTCAGTGATAGATTTAAAGCATCTCAGGAAATATGTATTTTGATCTTATCAGTCATTAACAGAGCTGAATTTCAAAAAAGAAAGGGTAGTTTGACCAAGAAAGTTTTCTGTGCGTCTACATCACTTACTAAAGCTAATAAAAAGTATGTATGGTTACTTACTACTTAGAGATATTCTTCACAGGATTACACGAATGAGGTCAAGTTAGAATACAAATCTAAACCACGTCGAATTCAGAGTGTATAGCAATTCAGCTATTCAATCGTGAACTCTATATGTAAAACTTGTATATTCAGCCTGTCTTTCTACTATGCACTTAATTTGGTGTTAATTTTTAATGCTTAACATACAGCGGTTGTCATCACTTTCAAGTAGTTCTTTTCTCCTTCGTGTATTTTTTCATGTTTATCAAGTGGACAGATACCACTCATGATTCTCATCTTTCAGATATTTTCAATGCACTAATTTTTATTAACTTTAAGTACATTATACAACTTTCATTTGATATTTCAAACTATTAATTGCCCAAATTATATATTTGTAGTAACTAGATAAATTCGGAATAATTATATCCTATATGTTTGCCTTTCATTCTGATAAATCTTATTTCGACATTTAGTTTTCTACATTTGAATACAGAAATCCTTTCAAATAGATAGATACCTTATTTAGAATTAAACTGTTGTCCAATACACGTAAAGTTTCATTGAGAAAGATCAGTAATTTATTCATATAACTCTGAGTGGAATGAATCTAAATAGTTTGCATTAATTTAAGTGCAAGAAACGGTAATATACAGATTCATTTGACTTGTATGTTACTTTCAGTTATCAGTTTATATGTATTATACGTGGGAATTTGTCACAATTTTTGTGATTAACTTGATCGAAACTAAGTAAAATATGCTACTAACTTGTTCAGAATTAACTCACATAATTTATTGAGGAGTTTATGAATACCCGAGAAAATGCTAAATTTTTATTGAATCCGTAGAAAAAAAGTACTTTATGTAATTAAATGAATATTCAACTTCATGAATAATTAGATGACGGTAAATTTAGTTAGTTTTTCTCTCTTTTTCTTCCTATTATATCAGGGCAGCTAATAAGATATACAAGGTGGGTTCGAAAGCCAAGATACCCATAGCATACTGATTTTCACATCAAGTCACTGACTCTTAGAAACCAGTACTCGAAGAAGTGATGTCCATACCTTCAGTTGACTCATTTAAGAGAAAACTAGACATTCAAAGAGGCTTACTAAGAAAGAACTTAAAAAGACAATTCGTTTTCTGTCGACAGTATGAAAATCTGAATATTATAGTCCACTTGTTCCATATTTCATCAAGCTATTCAAAAAAAGAATTTATTCAAAGGACAAAATATTTAAATAAAAAATCCGAATTACTTACCTTAGTTTATTAAGTAGATCTTTTTCATAGACACGATATAATGATGACTGTATTATTGATGTTATTAGATTACGTATCATTTCTGGAGATTCATCTGATTTCCCTTGACTAAAATGTTTGTAGGAATGTTAAAAAGGATACTCAAAATCACATCTAAGTTCCTAAAAACTAAAATATATTGTAGGAATCATTGGAAACTCCGAATACATGTTAACATCATTTAAGAAAGTTTTTCAAGTTTCTTATATATTTATATAAATTCAAAATATTGAATCTTTGTCGTTCATTTTTAGCATGTGGTGGAAGTCATATATTATTTTTTCATTATCACAAATGTTTTCCTTTTTTGTGTGTAGTAACAGTGATTTTCTTTAAAACCTTTATTGAAATCATGAACTGATCTAATCGAGAACATCACTGAAACCTTAGAAGCAATGGACAGCCATTCCATCCTAGTATGAGACTTTTCAGAAGTACGCATCCATAGCTGTCCAGTGCTTCCAGGTCTTCGATGGCGGTCTCAATTAGATCGGTCCAATAAAACTCAAAAATCTTTACTACCTCATGCTGGTAATTGTCGTTTCCTCACTAGTGACTGGTTTTGAGAGAAAATACTCAAAGTTTTAGTGAGAAGCCGTAACTAGTAGGACTAATCGGTGTCAGGCGTGAGACAGTTACCCACCGAAGATAATAAAAGATGGTCATGCAATATCGTGGAATAATTAAAGTTAGACAATAACATCGGTGAATACCGACTCAGCGGTCTAAAGACTAAACATTCACGTGCGAGACCGAAGGTTCTAGGTTTTATTCCCGGTTGCGTGGTCTTGGATGAGCACTTCTGAGGAGTCCCGTGCTAGGAAGAAACGGCTTTTCAGTGCTTCCAAGTTTTCATTGGTGATCTAACATCAATCGGTTCATAATTTCAACCAAACTCAACAATTTCTACAACCCTGTACTGTAAAAGCTTTAAATCATTTTTGTGATATATGTCCCATTTCTACGTGTTGCGCATCACTGGCGCACAAAAGTAACTACATTTTAAACTAAATATGTTTATTTGTATAAAAGCTTCAATGTAAGTACTCTCAACTATTTATCTGAAACTAAATGACAGTAATTGGCATTATTTGACATTATGATAGACTTGAAAATAATCAGAAATGAAAACTTAAATAAAAACAAACAAACTTACCCTATTGTTGCACCATGCTGTTGAGTATTTTCAGAATTTCCATGATTTATGTCAACTTTCGATGAATCACTGTTTAACTTTTGTACATAGTCGATAGATCTCTGAATAATTGAATCCACTATTGATATTATCGTTTCCATGTATTCACTTGAATTTTCATTGGTATTCTTCACTATTGGTTTTATATGTGCATCCTTAATTATAAAAAAATTATTCTCTACAAGACTGTAGTCTTCATAGAATCATAAACACATTGTCATTCGTTTGGAAAAAAAGGGTTTAATTTTATTCAACTAGTGGATAATATACAAAGTATATAACAGTATACTGTAAACTCAGTCATGTGTCATCACTTGTCAGTCAACAAACATTCAACTTTTTACCTACGAAAAGATTAACAAGAGTAAAAATAAACCATCTCTTATTTGATTAATTTATTTTTCATCATAATATTACAATTCATTTGTGTTGCTATCTAGTTAAAAGTCATTGCGAAACAGGATTGATAATACTCTTATAATAAGTGAAGTTTTCTAATAAATTTTCATGTAATTTTAACAGTTAAAATAAGGCAATACAACCAACTGTTAATTGACTGATTATTCATTATTTTTTTCCCGCAATTTTCCATCTTCAGTTAGTTGACCCTTCTTTTTTGAAACCTGAAAATATTGTAAGTATTTTAATTATCCCATTTATAATTAATAATAATTCACATTTTACGAATATTATAGAGTTTTACAAAACGTAATGGGAAAAACTGAAACATGGTCCATAAATTTTAAAAACATAGTTCTTTATTAAAGTCTACAAAAACAAGACCTATAGTAATTTTCGTTTAAGTTAGAATGAATAAGTTCAAAACAGTTTGACACCAAGTCTATAGAAGGTATTAAAAATAAATTGAAATAAGGTATTCGTTCACAAGTTTGTAGCACATTCATTTTTCAACGATCAATATATATATATATATATATATATATATATATATATATATATATATATGTAGTACCAAGCATTTTCGGACATTTTACATTTACCTAGTGCGTTAACGCTGCATTTAAGAGCATTATTTTCACTGATAATTTTATTTCCAGCTCCAATGTTTACAATATTTGTTGCCTTTATCCAACAAGTTAGTATGCGCTATAATGGGATGTTCATAAAGAACATGAGTAGATCGATTAAGATGATTGAAACGAAGTGCCGAGTGATAAGTATGTTCTTATTTGTAATACTCACATAATAAATAAATAGAAAAATAGTCGAAAATACTAGATACCTGACTTTTCTCAAACATTGAAAAAGTAAGTGATAACCTCACAAAAATAAATTATATATATATATATATATATATATATATATATGTATATATATATATATATATAATTTCGAATTTTCACTAGTCAAAATGGTCTGAGCTTTTTTTGTGGAGATGCTCAAAGTTATTTTCAATTCGAATTGCTGAAATTTTTTACAAATATAGTTCTTCGTATGAATAAATTAGTTGAAGTTTTAATTTTTGAAGTATGCAGCATATAACAGTGAAACCAAATGAATATTTGCTTTCTAAGTAGGAAATAACTAAATTTAGAAATAACAACTGTAAAGATTATGGTAATATTTGTTATGTGTTAAAAGGAGATTTCGCATTTTCAGTGATAAGTATGCAACTAATATCACATAGTTTACTCAATTGTTTTTTACACATATATTTGAAGTCATAGGCACTTACCTTAATAAGTCTGAAATTTTTATTTATTAAAAATTTGTTCAGTCTGTTTCCATATCCATATCTTGGACATAATGGTAACCAATACTTGAGTATTACAAATAACCTAATATACACTGTCCTTCACCGATATTTTTTTCTTAAGTTTTCCGTTTTCATTTTGTTGTTTCATGACTGCAACATGGTTTTTATGCTAACAAAACTGTATATAACATTCGGATATTTATCGAAACCTTTTTTAACAAATTTTCTCATACTATATTATGAAATCTATCAATTCTATAATTAAATGTATCATTTCATTCATTTATTAAATGATACTTTAGAATATTATTCACTTTATCTATTCAATCTTTCAATTACTTAATCCATCATTTGCAATTATTTTTGTGATAATGTTCGAATTCGTTATGTTATTATGTAACACATTACCACAGATATAGGTTCGACTTCATTATTATTTTCATCCAATTCACGAATCGATAAAATCGAAAATATCATTGGAAACCTGGAGGTACTGGGCTGCCTTTACGTCCTATTATTACTATTATTATTATTATCTCTTTGTTCCTTCCATCTTTTTTTAAAATAAATGCTCGGAAGCAGTTTGGTAGATCATATGATAGAAACATACTTTCAACTGTAAATGATTGTTAACAACGTGTTTGTTTCATTTAACTCATATCCAAGTTAGAAAAAACGTCATTAGCGTAAAATATGGCGTAAACGTGTGTGTGGATTTCCACTATCAAACATGAAATCAGTAAATTTCAAAAACACTACCAAAAAGAAAAGTGAAAGAATGCTCATAGTACTAGGAAAGCTAAAAATTAGAACAAAGATCAAACAATATAACTAAAGAGATCATTTTCGATTGTTACTGTCTCAAACTACGTATCACAGCTTTTTCACAAGCCTCAACAAGAATCCTGCTTAAGATGGGTAGTCAAATTCAAATTATATTTCATCACTGTAACAAACACGTGCTTACTAAAGACTAGTTTAATGAGGAAATGGTGAAATTCTAGTGAGAAGCCATGATAAACATAGTTCAGTCATGTGTTTAATGAAAAATATATATAGCTGATTCCGCAGATAGATGGTCGTCAGTCGACTGAAGCAAAGAATTTTAACCATCGAGTACGAATTCTGCAACATAGCAGTGCCATACTCATCATGAAATCTGAACGTTCTGAGTTTGATTCATTAGGAAGCTTTCCATGGGGATTGCTGAAGAGTCCGAAATTCTTAACCAGTGCTAATCAAGCTAAACTTTAAAATATTATTTATTTTTAATGCACTTAAAACCTCTAACTCGACGCTAATTTTCTTCTGCCTCTAAGTCTTTATTTGAATACATTTACATACCGAACAAATCACTTGTCATGAAACAAGAAAAATATTAATGTCAAACGTTCATATATTTAAAGAACTGAAGTTTCTGAAGTAAATCAATAGATAGTAGTTGTTATTAAACCTAAATATCTTTTAACAAAGATTATATTATAGGCAAAGATGGATAGTGGCTAGCAGTGGAATCCAAGACGCGCGTTTCGTCCTGTTTGGGACTCGTCAGCTGGATGTACCTGCATCTCAGAGTTGATGTTCACTCCGGGACTCGAACTCAGTACCGTTCGCTTCAAACGCCATCGCGTTATCCACTTAGCTACTGAGTCCTGATAGCCATTTGCTTGTGTAATGGGTTGAAGTTTAATTCACTTGATATTGTTTTACTTGAATCTTCCCATTGATGTTTTAGGACTGAAATTGATCAGCCTCTTAAAACATCAATGGGAAGATTCAAGTAAAACAATATCAAGTGAATTAAAGATCATATTCTTTTTGTAAATTTTTGAGTATTGACTTTATGTTTTTTTTCTGGTAACACCCATTCATTTTTATATTTTCCCATAAAAATGTTCTCGTTTCAGGATTTATGTGTTTGTAATATCATTATAGCTGCCTGGAGTACGTGACTGTGTTTGAGTGAAAAAATAGATATTATCAAGTAAACAATAAAAATGAATCCTGAAACACTGATCATGTTTTATGTGGCAAAAGTATTCTTCAGTAATACAGAGATCACATTCTTTGCTCACTAATTAATCATTATTAAATGATCCATAAAATGTAACAGTGAAATAGAGTAATATTAAATATAATTATTACAACAGAGTGTATAAAGCAATTATTTTAAATGAATTAGTTCAGACAGTTTTATGTTCTCAAATATAGTCAAGATTTATGTATTCAAAACAAATCAATTAAATTCTTAATATTTCTCAGATTTCAAAATATAGAATAAGTTGACTGTTAAGTTTACTAGAGATTTCAAACGGATACTTTTATCAGTAACCTGTACTCAATTCCGTGGATGTTCTATCATATATTCAGTCAGTCAGCTACAACGTAGGACCAGGCACATATGTCTAACTTGACATTTTCTTAGTAAATACATATAACTTGTTAAAAATAATCAGTCAACTGTGATTAATCTAAGGGGAAATATGCGAATTCCAAAACTATAGGTCATTAATCTTATATTTGAACATTAATTTAATCAAACAGTTATTCAAACATAAAAAAATATTTAGAAAAATGTAATCCGGTGTACTATATTTACGAAAACCAATTGGCTGGTTATTTATATAAACATTCATTAAATACACATTAGAATAAACATACTGATTTTCGATGATACATAGTAAATTTTGATATGTTAGTCATGTATTTAAGAGTATTCGCCCAATCATGTTCCCAATTCTCTCGATTATATAAGTTTTTTGAATTCTTCAGCCTTTTAAGAATTTCTTTATTTTCTTGAGTTACTCGCTTGACTTCTTTCAGTCTTTGTTCTTCATTTAAGCTAAAATGATCCAATTAAGAAAGAAACAGTTAAACAATAAAATAATAATTTGTAATGTTTGTATTACTATAAATAGATGTAAATGTTCAATTGGAATACTATATAAAATATATTAACCTTTTTTCTATATACTGATCATTTTCATTGCACATAATACCATGTTTCTGAATTTCATGCATCCTCTTCAAAAGTCGGTTATTTTCTTCTGTTATTCTTTTGAAATTTTCTTTTTCAATCTAGTCGTTAATATTTATTTATTTAATTGTAATTGAATTATTGATTTCAATTTAGAAAGTAATTTGATAATTAATTTAATTGTTTATTATTTATCTTCAACTATTTATTAGACTACTTACTCTGTCTTTTTTAGAATTTAAATGAATAATCTGAAATGTTTTTGGTGCAGTTGTATCCACTGTCGATTTCATTTTAGCTAACTGAACTCAAATCATATTGAAAGAATCAATAACAATAAAAAAATATGTCAACCATATGATTGACAACAAAAGAAAAAGTTATGCAATGACAATATACACAACATTCAATATAAGATAATAGAAAATGTTATATTTTTTTCCTTATTCTATTATCATAAATTTATTGTAAAATTAGGTTTTTAAGCATTGTAAGTTGAATATTTTATGTTAGACACTAACACCATGGGATGCCGGCTCAGTGGTCTAATAGTTAAGTCCTCAGGCGCGAAGCCAGTAGGTCCTGGGTTCGAATCCCGCGGGGTGCGGGATCGTGGATGCGCACTGCTGAGGAGTCCCATACTAGGACGAAACGGCCGTCCAGTGCTTCCAGGTTTCCAACGGTGGTCTAACATCAATTGATTCATGGTCTCAACCAAAAACTTAACAATCTTATTGGGTTACTTGATTGTAGAAATGCTCTTAACAAGTATATGTGTGATCAGATTGTTCGAAATGTATTGCGCTAATATATCACTTAGTTCTGATAATCTTCGTCTTCTTATTACATTATCGAATTTTTCAAAGGGACTAATTGTTTTAAATGTTATTATTTTTCATATTCACATTATATGTAACATTTTCATATTGTGGTGTGTGCTACTCATAAGTAGTATGTATCATCAATCGAAAGTGAAATGCCTGGAGGCAGAAGGTTAATATCAAAGAAAAGAGAACAAGAACAGAGAATGATTGCTATGGAAGTGAAGGAACACTGAGATCTGAAACGATTGATTGACGTTTGCAAAATTAATAGTCCAGTTTGAGACAATTGATTGAAATTTTGCAAAATAAATATTTACTGTATGGTTCTCAGATTTTACTAAGACATCCTGTAATTTTGTATTCAAATACATTTGATTGTCTCCATTTGTGTTCTCGTTCACTAAAATATGATTACAGAGTTCATTATGAAGTATTACTAGGTAAATAATACTAAATAAGAACTTTCGTCTAAATTTGAACGAATAGTTTCACAATATTTGGGCGCCGAGTTAATTTGAGACATTAAAAAGAAGAATATATTTGTAAAATCTCAGCGAATGAATTTTATGTAAATCCAACGTTTCGCCTGGCAATCTGGTCCAAGCTTTTTCAAGGAAAATATAATCAAACAACAAAATTATCGAATATAAATAGGTACATGGTTCTTCGGTTTACTGTATACTGAATAAGTCATACAATCAACGTGAAGGATTTTTTATAAATAGGTATTTACATTAATGTGTAAGAGACATGTTTATATGAAAACAAATGATACTATTTCAATAAATGATATACCTAACGAACTAGCTATAAAATTTATGGAATTTCGTCAATCATAAACAGATGATAACATTCTGATTTTGGTTTTATTATTCAAAAATACAAAACAATATTCACCTGAGTTTTCACAGGAAAACCAATCGAATCTTAACAATAAATGATATGCTAACTAACGATATTAAATTGATCAGAAATATTTAATAAAATTAACACTATTTTTATTTACTATTAAGTTTTCTATGCTTTTGAAATGAGAAAAAGTTATGTGTTGGCATGGGTAAATTAGCGATTGCCCGTAATATTCAAGTAGTACAATACATATTTATATTTTAACCCTGATTTTATGTGTATAACTTTTGACTTTATCTTCCTTTCTTCTAGCATTTTCATTTTCTTATTCAATGTAGTTTTCTGTATTTTCAAAATATTGTTCCTTTTTAGCTTTTAATAAAGTCTACATTTAATCCACTAGACTGTTTACGTAAAAATCTTATACATAGTTATAATTTTATACTTTAATATGAAAATGGATTTACTGCTAAAATGAAATCTAACATAAAAAATGAATCTTGGATTAAAAATCGTCGAAATTTATTTGAATATTCAAGTGTTGTGTTTTGTGTCACCCATACAAAATTTAGAACGTTTAGGGTCATTTAGATTCTCGCAACACAGAATAACTTTGTCTAGACATAGATTGAAGAACAGTTAGGACTATTTTAGCATATAAATAATCAGCAATGCGACCTTTCTAGAGATAGAACCCATGAGTCTCTAGCTTTTAGACTACTGATTCGGCATATAATGACTCACAATTCTAATTTCAGGCCATGTGCGATATTGCACGACTATAGTCCGATAGCATTGGCGAAAACTTCCACTGATCATGGCCTCTCAATAGAATTCCGAGAATCACCTCTTGAAGTCGCTTATAAGTAATCACACCATGACTATTAATATAAGTTAGTAAGGTGATTCTTGCTCACTAAGTCAATTTCAAAGGGTTACATGAGTATTACCGTCTACATAACACCACTTTATAATTTTTGAACCGACAGAATATGAAAATCTAATATTAGCGAAATACAATCATTTTGATTTTGCAGGTGTACATAAAGATTTGACTTGTCAAAACGATGTACTTTATAGTTTATGGACTTAACTAATTTTATTATTACGGTTGTTGAGTTTGATATTTATAACTGACACTACATTCTCCAAAGTTCCATATTCTTTTAGTTTTTGGCTACCTAATTTGCTAATTAAACTTATCATAATTGAAATCGTACTATGATGTAGAACGAACAAAAGCCAACTTTTATCAAAAAACCAGGAAGTTTCATTGTATATGTACTGAACATATCTTAGAATGCTGTATAGAAGACTTCAATAGATTAGTAAACATTCGTTCTTCATCTTCATCCCTTTAATTTTTTTGTAGTTATTTGTAAATAGATGACTACGTGAAAGTGAACCAAATTTGCTTTACCAATCAAATATTAAAACAAGTTATATTAAAAGTTGACAGTTAATTCAAATAGTAGATTAAAATTGATTACAATTATAAAACTCCAGAAATAGTGAAGGGAATGGACCACAGTTTCGCATGTATAAGGACTTGGACTTTTTAGGTTTATTATAATTTCTTATTACCCACAAATCTATTTAGTGTGAAAAAATATATCAACGCTTGTGTGAAGATCATTGAACCATGTAATTAGAGTGCGCTGACCATTCGGAAGCAGGATCCACTGGTGACTGAAGAGGATATTCTAGCTCTTTGAGGCAACCATCAGTAAGATGTTTTGGTTTCGTTAAATATTTGGTGAAGTTAGTTGCACATCACGTATAAATCCTCAAAGATACCTTAATTTATAGATAAAGATTTTTAGAATATAAATGAACTAATTTATCTTCTCAACAGTCTCAAATACATTATTTCTCTTCCCCCCTCAAAAAACCCGAATACTACCTATCTAAACAAAAAATAAAAGACGAGAAAACAATTTTTACTTTTGAAAGGGCGCAGTTTCATGGACCCACATAACTCACAAATGGTATTTCCAAGGGTTGAATTGATTTACGGGTCACATATCTGTTTAGTATTTTCGGAAAGGTAGTAAAAGGAAAGCATATTATATATATTTATAAAAACCCCTACATAATGCATCAAGGTGTCTGTCTATTCTCAGTGATACTGAAACCGTTGGCTCTCACGATTCTCCAAAAATTGCACAAAAGTAAATATCTGACTTGCTAGTTAGAGTTCGGTTTGGTTTCACACATCGTGCTCACCGATCATATCTTTATTCCAAATCAAATGCTAGAGCTCTATCAAACTCATTTCAGGCCCACTTTCACTATGTCTCCTGAAAGAAATTACATTGATTTATTAAAATGCATCGTTCTCTTGAATTACTTGTCGAATGTGATAATTGTCCATAATCATCATATAAGATATAAAGGATTATCAAATCACCCCTTTACTCTAACATTTTGATGTCACGGACATTCTGGAAACATCAATGAAGGATGTACGTCATATTTCAAAGTTCTTGATTAAAATAAATTGGTAGTTAAGCATAACTGCAGTTCGTGAATTACATAAAGTGATCATAAACCCGCACGTATGCTGATTTGTTAACAACAAATGAAATCTAATCTGACAGTCACTTACATTTTGGATAAATATTGACTATGTATGTTTTGTGTTAAGTATTTTATATGCTTTTTGTTAAATCAAACGATTCATATTTTGCTGACCGTTGATTATCATTTGATATTCATTCATCGTGGGCCATTGAATCAATAATTTAGATTTGTTATTAGCTATCAAGTCAAGCGATAGACCACACATATCACAACCCATACAAATCTTCTTCCGTTATAATAGTTAAACATTCATTCAGCCACTCTGTTAACTCGATAACTATGGATAATGACAATAAATAAACATTTAATAAAAAACTTACCGCCTTTAAATGGGCATCCTGGTATCTTTTGTCAAATTTATATTGAAGGGGTTTATTTTGACAAGGCTTCACCGAATAATGTAGGTTATACATAGTAGTATGTTCAGCAGCAGTGAAGGAAACAGACTACAATGAATAGAAGACCTAATAAACCACATATGAGAAAGTTATGAAATATAAGAAATAACCAACATTATTAATTTACCCCTTAATTTCCACAATATATATGTTAGTAAAGAAGAAATAAAAACAGATTTTGTATTGTTCAGTGCGCTCAACATTTAAAAGATAATTTCTGGAAAACATGTAGTATACCACGAGAAATTTTATAATATTTATTACATTTAAAAACAACTGGTCAATAATTTATTTAGAAATGTAAAAATTGACATTAATTGAGTTCGGCGGTAAAAAGAGCATTCAAAGAAAAGTATGAACACGTTTACAAATTAATGATGTTACAATTTAATGTGTTTCTTTTTTAATTTATATTTAAAGATCAAGGCAAGAAATAATACTACTGGATATATATTTGAAAATAGAAACAATCTATTATTTATCTTTGTATTTCTTTGATATTCAAGCATGTAAGTAATATAAGTTTCATGAAATATGTATGTACAACTATTTAATCTAAATACAAAAAGAAATGCTTTCATTCCATTCTAATAATGAAATTGTTGTGTCCCGATAAGCATAATGAATGGTAACTTTTGGGATCCATTTATGGACCAATACTATGCGTATATTTTTATCGTATAATTATTAAATAACTAAACTATACATATCCATGTCCCTCTTATTATGAGCTTTATTTTGACCTATGAACTATTATTATACCATTTGCCATTCTTAAATTATACCTTGTCTATTAATTACTACCTCCCTCATTCACAGCCACATTCGGCCAAATCTTGTACAAATGTTGTTTCCCATTTTATGGTACAGTGTGGTCTGTCTGGTTGGTATATAAACCTAGTATGTTTGAAATAAATAATTCATATTGCAGAGGCTGAGTTTGGTGTTCTGGACTTAATTGGCTGGGGTAGGCAGGAAGCAGGAGTGATAAGTACTTTAGACTACTCATACGGGTTTTATGTGTCATTGGTCGGATCTATGATTCACTGCTCTCTAATTGGTGGTTTCATTACGTTATACATTAACAGGGTACACAGGTTACAAGTTATAACAAATAAAATTAGTCTCATTTTGGCATAGATACTGTAAAAAGATTGTTTCGAGCTAAAGTTTTAATTAAATAAATAAATTTTTATGTTTATAGTAAAGGAGAATTAATTTTCCTACCAATTTATTTAATTTCCTAAATGAGTTTAGAAGGAACTTTAAATGATATAGATTACATTCAAAAAATTTATTAAATTTTTGTTATTTTAATTTCCATTTAAAGTGTTTGTCAATTACACTGTTATTTTTCTTCTTTTTTTTACCGGTAATTATCTTAGCAATAAGAGTTGGCCTTCCTTTTAATTTGAATGACTATCTGTTTGTAGTTACATTAAAAACCAAACATTTTCGTATGTTGACTTAGCTATTTATTGTGAAAGAGATTTTAATTATTTAATGAACGAATTTTCGATTGGTAAAACGATGAAAAGATTGTTAATTAATAAGTGAACATAAGGATACAGGGTGTGGTGCAGTGACTAATTTTTTTATCAGAACATCAGTTCAGTTCAGCTGCCGAACAAAAAGTGCAAAGTATCATTTCTAATTTATTGATTGAATGTTTCTGTGTGTAATTTCTATTAAAAGTCGGTTTTCATTACAAACTTTGTCTAAATCTTTCTACAATACCTCAGAGTCCTGAGATTTACATTGGTCTGTATAACATTTAGTCTAGTTTCACTACATGGTTCGAAGGAGTTTACACATGAATATATGTACTTTTCTGTAAATTCTAAGGAACTTGCATTTTCGATTCGATTTATTTTTTATTAGTGGAAGAACGTTTCGAACCATCTTCTGCTTAAAGTTATCTCAATGTTCTTTATTTCAGATTTGACCTTCTCTTTAAGAATGATAAAAGTTAACCGATTTTGGCTAATAATAACTAAATGAATTCTCTAGAACATGAAGGTTTGGAGAATATACCTAAATTTGTAATTTCATGCCCTAGTTTAGACTTCATTTGATTTAATCCCTATTGAATCCGATTAAATATTAGATCACATTCTGCTTATTTAAATAAATATTACAGCCATTATAATCAGTCACCATCATCAAAAGTTTCCTGCCAAACAGACGTGATATTCATAGTCGGCGAGACTCTAATTTAGCGACGATATTTGAACGAATCTTAAATGACCTTGGCAATTATTAGCCGATCAGAAGACAGTTAGTATAAAGTGAGAATATATTGTAAGTAAGTAATGAATTACAGTGGATATTCTTCTTTTACATGATTTAAAAACTTGTTAAGGTTTGATAAAGGTTCAGAGGCTCTAAATTCATAATGCATATTGCATAGAAACTCGTCCATAGGGTTGGTGGATAGGGTTGTAGCCTCTCAATAGACACCTCTTCTCTAAAATCCGATGTAAACCGATCGCATGTTAGCACCCTAATCCTAACCTAACCCTAACCCTAAACCATAATCTAACCCTAACCTTAACCTAACCCTATTCTCACCCTAAACCTTAACCCTAACACTAATCTAACCCCAAACCCTAACCTTAGCCCTAAACCCTAATCTAACCCTAAACCCTAACCTTAACCCAACCCCAAACCCTAACCTTAACCTAACCCTAAACCCTAATCTAACCCAAAACCCTAACCTTAGCCCTAAATCCTAACCTAACCCTAACCTTAACCTAACCCTTAGCCCTAATTTTAACCCCAAACCCTAACCCTATGGACGAGTTTCTATACAATATGCATTATGAATTCAGAACTTCTGAGCCTTTATCAAACCTCAACAAGTTTTTAAATCATGTAAAAGAAGAATATCCACTGTAATTCATTACTTTCTTGTAATATATATTTTCACTTTATACTGTCTTCTGATTGGCTAATAATTGAAATTGCTCAAACGCTTCTGATTGGCTCGTCGCTAAATTAGAGTCTCGCCTCATAGTCTAGCTTACCAGTTTTTCATTCTTTGCTGTTATCATCTACCTGGAGCTTTTCTAGGGTTACTGGTGGTGCGGGGTTAGCGACCCTTACTCATTAAAAAGAAGCTTGCGAAAAACAGATAGGCAGTGGTGTATTATACGTGACTACGTACCGAAGCTCTAATAAAATGCAATACTTGCAATATTTTATCCAAACATGAATTACTCATGTCTGAAAATCAAAACAGAGCTGTAAAGTGACAACCTATTAAAATTTGATAATGATATCTTACTATTATTTTCTTCAAGCTTTTATTGTTACTTTTACTTTTCCTACCTTCGTCCCTGCGGTTCTTAAATACACAAGAAGTTCATTCACTTTTAAATTATACATAAACTTAAAGAAACTTATTGGAAAACCAATTTCTATTGCATGCCTTCAAATAATAATCTGCACCACTTCTGAATATGTCTGATATATGTAGTAGACCCATTCACAGTATGAAAATCGAGATTGCAGTTATAAACCAATTAAATCAGGCTAACCTAATCATTTTTAAATTAAATATATACTATTTTTATCAGTGCCAACAAGTGGGCTTCGTGGAAATAAGTCTTGGTATGATTTATTTTTGGATGGTGATTATACTTCCAGTAATACCTAGCAGCTAAAATAACCCGAAATACAAATTGAATAGGTGGCAATCATCACGACTCAGTAGCTTATTGAACAACTTTCTGGCTTTTTACATGTTGAGTTTGAGTTCCGACTGAAATAACTTCTCATAAAGGTAAAGTCCAACAATAAATATCAAATACGAAGAAATATATGTTCTAAATCCCGCTGCCAACGGTAAATATCCATGTTAACACATTTACCAGTGTAGATCACTTTTCACATAAAAATAGTGTTAAACTGCCCACCATCAGTATGTTCTATTGTATGTTCCTGATAATCTCAAAAAATGATTTAGGAAACGATAAAAAGGCACCAAGTACATCCTTTATTCTGAAACATATAATAGATCAAGATATAACTGAGTTTCTGCTTTTGGTACATCTTTCAAGATTCAGTCATACATTCCAAGAAGTTTACCTCTTAGCAAACTATACATACCAGAAGCTCAAACCATTTGTAATTTCAAGCACGAATTATTTATATAAAATGAATCTGGTACACCACCTATAACTATGGCGCGATTCTGCGCTACATAATTGTTATAACTTATAGCCTGAGTGCCCTGTTAATGTATAACGTAATGAAACCACCAATTAGAGAGCAGTGAATCATAGATCCGACCAATGACACATAAAACCCGTATGAGTAGTCTAAAGTACTTATCACTCCTGCTTCCTGCCTACCCCAGCCAATTAAGTCCAGAACACCAAACTCAGCCTCTGCAATATGAATTATTTATTTCAAACATACTAGGTTTATATACCAACCAGACAGACCACACTGTACCATAAAATGGGAAACAACATTTGTACAAGATTTGGCCGAATGTGGCTGTGAATGAGGGAGGTAGTAATTAATAGACAAGGTATAATTTAAGAATGGCAAATGGTATAATAATAGTTCATAGGTCAAAATAAAGCTCATAATAAGAGGGACATGGATATGTATAGTTTAGTTATTTAATAATTATACGATAAAAATATACGCATAGTATTGGTCCATAAATGGATCCCAAAAGTTACCATTCATTATGCTTATCGGGACATAACAATAATCAACGTAATAAACTTCCTAATATATATATATATATAATTTCATTTTACAAAGGTATGGTGGTATTTTAAAATTCATGCCAGTTGTCATAATAAAAGTCTATCAATAACGAATGACACAAACGGGTGAAATAACTAAAGTAATTATCAGAATGGGTTTTGTGGAGATTTTAGAAGTTTCACAGATTGAAATCATGAGTCAGTTGAAGCTAGACCACCATTGAAATCCTGGAAGCACTGGACGGCCGTTTCGTCCCAGTATGGGACTCCTCAGCAGTGCGCACCCACGATCCCGCACCACGCGGGGCTCGAACCCAGGACCTC